ATATATATATATATATTTGAAATAAAAATAAATTCCAACTCTACAATTAAATTTATGTAAAGTTTTATGCGTAAAAATAAAATATAAGCCCCCGCATTTGACACTTTAAAAAAAGTTTTGAGATAATTTCAAATTTAAATAAGATAAATGTAGAAATTCTCGAACTCAGCCAGTTCGGTTGAATAGTTGTTACCGTAGCCCATAGATTACGTCTAGATGTTGACATAGATCGGTCGACGTCATTCTTCTAGTAAATGTGTTGACTTTGTGGATCTCCTGACTGCTTCCACACCTTTAAATTGTGGTTAACACCGTTTAACAAATAAAGATTTTCTCCTTTATAATAGCACTTGACTGACTAGCATCAAACAGGATAAATAAATAGTCTTAAATCTCTTCATTCGTGAGTTACATTGCTTCTTTTATGCTTAAGACAGATTTGTATAGGCCTGTATAGTTTCAGAAATAAACTTGTCGTGAATAATTAACTATTTAATTCTATTTACTAATTATTATTTAACTTTTATAAAAGTTAACTTCCTTGATTTTATATATATAAAATTTTAATAAAAGTAATAATAATAATAATAATAATAATAACAAAACTCTTTACTGTTTCTATAAACTTATTTCTGCTATTTTTTAATTTTCTATAAGAATTTAAAAACTAGCACAAAAAAAAATTTCTATTAAAATAATTAAATATAGGCTTAAAAGCATTTGTATTAATTGCAAATTGTGATTAAGATATATTTTCTTTTGTTACAAACCTAATTAAAGTTGTTATAATTTTGTATAGGCCTAAACAAGATTACCAAACTTAATTAAAAGCATATACTTATGTTAAAGAACAGATAAATGTGAACTTTAAAGTATAACATACAAAATAATGAAGTTAAACTGAATTATTTCTATTAAATTTCATCCCATAAGTCAAAAACTAGTTGTAAACAACCGTGGCAGGCTATATACAGATCATTAGGCACTTAACTCTTGTTTCGGAATATAGGAAACTTGGTTTGAATAATTTTAGATAGTTTATATATCCGATAGATTGCAGATTTTTACTCTTAACCATGTTATAATTTTATTTGAATTGGCAATTTTACAAAAATTGTTAAATAGAATGGAATGAAAGAAAGACAAAATTGTGAAGAAAAGAGTAAATTCTCCACATTGAATTTTCATATAGCGAGATGATAATACACGAAACACCTTACATTCGCTATTATATTTCCATTCATAACTGCAATTCTGAAGGCCTGACTCTCGAGCAAAATTTTGAGATATAATTACTTTACATGTTTATTAAGTTGTGTGAAATTAATAGAACTTGAACATGTTAAATTAATAAAATGGAGACACCCGAGATATTTGTAATCCGTAAATATATGTTTTATATCACTTACGGAAAATAATTTAAGTACTTTTCAAATATAAGAATAATTTTATATGTAGGCTATAAAGTATATAGGCCTATATATAAAAAGGTATCAAAGCTTTATGAATGTAAATTCTCTAGAATTAATGAAGTTCGAATTTTACTATTTTTATGAATTTTAACATGAAAGATTTTTTTACTATTTTGGCTGATTACGTTAGTCCATCAATCACAGCAAGATAATTTCTATTTATTTATTTGTAATCTTATGAAAACAGGCCTAATAAAGAGTTTGAGACAGACAATCGTACTATAATTTTTGAGAATCGTGTAAAAAGTACATTTATAAAATAGGCCTGTATAAACTGATATTGTAGTATTTGGAAATTATAATAATAAATACGTTTATTTTAAATAGTTTTCTTTTTAAATAAGTCGTAAAGAATTTTTTTAATTCGATGGAAATTTGTTACTTATCATAAAGTTATAGAAAACGGTGACACAACCAATCAATACTGTCATTGTGTCGCACACACCTATTTCAAGTCGCGAACGGTAGGTGGCATTAGTGGGCCCCCAGATAGAAAGAAATCACTGACCTTAAGCACCCAGACTTCTACCATAGACTAGTTAATGATGGTAAGAACTGTTCCATTACGATTTATNAAGAATTTTTTTAATTCGATGGAAATTTGTTACTTATCATAAAGTTATAGAAAACGGTGACAAATGAGAAGACACAGCCTATAAGAAAAAAATGGGCTATATAAGTCGAAAGATAACTACTGTTTTACTGTATTTGGTAAAAAAGTCAGTGGAAACATCTGCTCGTTCTCAGATAACTCTGCGTCATTTCCAAGAATGATAAAAATGTAACCAATCAAAATACAGTAATTAAAATTTTAGTCGTAAAATTTCCTTTGTCATATTAATTTTTAACATACAAAAAATTGTATATTCTTTTTCTAGTCAGTCATTATATAATATATACGTATGAAACTCTTGTTCGTGGATGTAAAGTAGCTTCGGAGAACTTTCAAGCTTTCGTTACCAATAACCAATATCTTAAATTGTAGTTAAGTATTAATCATTTTATAAAATTGAAATTTTATTTATAAAATATATTTCATTAATTTCAAAATATAAGTATTTAAAGTGTTATTGTCGATAATCAGGCCTTCGGAATTACAAGGATAATAGAAAATGTAACTTAAGTGCCGAACCGATATGCGTTTAGAATGGAAAAATCATTTAGATTTACATAAAATTTCATCTTATGTTTTGTAAATAGCTTTCTGATTTGTTAAAAGTAAGAAAATTCCAACTCGTTTTCTTTTATTCTTGAAATTTTTCAACTTTTACGTTAAAAATTTCTCTTAATTTTGCTGAAATAAATAGGCCTGTATAAATTTATGTTATACAATGTATGTTTGTAGATCTGTGTGAAAAAGAAACGGGCCCAAAGCAAATTATAACTTATCGAAAGTCTAATAATCTTATAGAAAATATTCTTAGTCACGAATTTTCCTTTCGAGAATTCTTCAAATAATTATCTAATTACAACGAGACATTGAAAACTGTAAAAGACTAACAATTGGATCTAAATGTAAGATAAAGTTTTAGAATCGGACTCAGTAGGGTTTAAGTATTAAAAACTTCAGTATTAATATTTTGAATTTCCACGATTGTTAGAAAAGTTGTTTCGTTTAATTTTAATTTAATTTATGAGGGTTGGTATACTAAAACTTTGTGTAAAAATTGAACAGTATAGAGTCATTCATTTTGTTAAGTATAGGAAAATATTTAAAATTTTACTTTAAGGAAACGTTAAAACAATCTTGCACAATCCAAAATACAATTATATTACGAAAATTGTCATCCTTAATAAAATTATTTATGTACAGAAATCGTATAGGATTATCAATTAATTACGTGAGGGTTTTAATTATTGTTTCGGTCAATTTTACAATAAAATTTGTTATCGAATTATTTTATTATTGTAAGATAATTTTTATTATATGTATTAAAAGATATACTGTGNTTATGATATATTATTTTTGAATTTTAATTTATTAATTCGTAATTATAAATTTTGTACAAGTTTCCGATAGAATCTTGTTTCAAACTTATTAAAGAATAAAAGAAATTTATTTATCAGTTAATTTTTATGATCTTTATAGGCCGTGTGAGTGAATGTAGACTTAAAAACCGAAAGAAATTTAATTTTAGTGGTTTTAATTAACTGTGTTAAACTACAAAATCTGATATAAAAAGAGGCAATTATTTCTAGTTGTAGAGTAATTGTGTCTTCTACTTTCTTTTAAAAACGAAGTCTGTAGGTGGGTTTTTATAACGTTCTTAAACTTAAACGTTTTTTACCGAATTTGAAGTATTTTACACCAATCGTGAAAAATATTGACGTCACGATTATCCACGTGACTTTTCACACGCTTGCTAATTGGCTGTCACCGCAAGTTGTGTCCATCATCACATAACATAGAAACGCAACCAATGAAACAGTCGTTTCTTTGCTACAAAGAACAGCATAACTGCTTATTACGACAGTCGTAGCACCACCTATGGGGCGGGGCATGTTAATTATTACCTGTGCTCAGGTGAGCGTGGCAGAACCTCGAACAGGTATGGCAGGCTAACTGACTCTATCTATAGATCAATAAGAGTGAGAATAAGAGTGATCATTGGAGGATTTATAAATATTAATTAAATATAAAACTTATGATGTACAATTCTGAGTGATAACTTTTCTCTCGACAGTTCGGTGTAAAACGAGGGACAACGTGTTGATGCCAATATGCGGCCGACTGGTGAAATAAACGCCTCAGCTGCATGGAAACCTGGAGTATAGTGTGAATCCGCTGTCCCAATATTGGGACCCCGACAACATGCAACCCACAGATGGCTACAGGCCTTTACCCATGGATCTACACGTGACACCACAAGGCTATCATCCATATTACAGGTGAGTGGTGTAACCGGAGCTCTTCTCTGAATCTCTTTTTTTTTTCGCTTTATTAAATCTTTCTTTAATGAATTAAATTATCTCTTTTAAATAACTTTAAGTAAGAATTCTGATTTAGTGTTGAGTTGGGGTCAGAGGTCTCACACGATGGGTAATGCGGGGGAAATATTGGATGTTATTAACTATGGTGAAACGTCTGGGGTCAGTAGCCCCCTACATATCCTCCTAAACAGCATGGCGTCAAATAGATGGGCTGTCACTTAATAGAAAGTCGAATCGTCTGCTGAGTGCTAATAGAATTGACCTCTTAGAACTGTGATAAACGAAAAGTGCCCGCTAATTTGGCTTGTTTGATAAGCTTCAAATTAAATAAAACTCTATAATATTATAAAATTTAAGCAAATCTCTTCTCTTAAACTTTTAATTATTAATGTAAGATTTAAATGTTATTTGCCCATTATAGTACTTATAAAATACACTAAAAATTAAAACTATCACATTTATCTATAGCTTATAAGCCTAGAGTTTATATATATATATATATATATATATATATAGAATATAATAATTATATACTGTATTTAAAAATGCTTACATAAATTTAGCTAATGTTCGAGTCTCAAAACAATTCAGATCTAAAAGATTAATTTGATGTAGCCTATAATAAACAAAGATTTATGATAGGAATAAAGTAAAGTCGTTTAGAGAACGAAAAATTCAAAAATCCAAATATTTATACTAGATTGCTTTAATAAATTAAAAGCAATTAAAATGTAAAAAATGATCACGGAATGTGTTGTAATGGAATAGACCCATATCGAATGTTAGCAAGCTTTATTAGGCCTACAAAATTTTATAGTGCGTTAGCACACTGTTTGTAAGCCTACTACTTCCCAGGCCTTTTAATTTTATTGTATTAGTCCTTATAAAATTATATGAATTATATTTTAGAATTTAAAGAACTTTGAATTAGACCTTTTTTGATTTAGTTTCGGCTTTCCAAGTTCGTATTACGTTACGTACTGTACTTCGAATCTTAATTTGGTCTGGAAAACAATAACCAGTTACGAAGAACGTTACAAATTGTTATATAGTAAGCAATAATACTAATAATATTCTAGGTTACTCTTCTAAATTCTCACGAGAATTCCCTTTAAATTTTCTACTCTAATATTAATGGCGATGTGCATGTTATGAATGTCACGTACATTCCAAATATAGTCAAATGACGTCAATGGTCACCTAAAATTTATTCCTGCTTCTGTTAATTTCAAGTAAATTTTTATTGTTTTTTTTTAAATGTAAGGCCAAGTGGCATAATTAAGGTAAATGAGGTTTTGAAACAAAAATGTCAATCAGATTATTTAGTCGAAGTTTTTTCCTATAAATTCACATTTCTTATATCCTGGTTAGGTATTTCGTTGACAGCATAAGATATATTCGAGCTGTAAAAAAGTTACTGTTCTATCTGAATCATTAAGTGTACTCCAGTTTTCATCAAAAGAACTTGAAAGATCTACAAAAATAATATTTTCGAGTTCAATCTGTTTAATATATCTGTCAGTTCAGTATTTTTGATAATTGGCTCAATTTTCACCAGGTTTTTAATATATTCTTATGTTTCAAAATATCAAATAAATTTTCGTGTTTCATATTTCTACGCAAAGACAACAGAAAATTTAATATCATTCGATTATGAAGCTATTACAAGAACTGTTTTATCTTTTCGCCTAGATCCAAACGCTATAAAAGAAAAGAAAAGTTCTTACTTTTGAAGCCGAAAATTCACTTTAACGTCTATATTCAATAAAAGTCTTTACTTCTTCACTTGCTGAAAAGAGGGAGAGAATAATTTTGGGCGTAACTTTGCCTGTCTTAGTTGTCTTTTGTGGTTCGTTTCATCCAGACGTAACCATTATTATTATTGGTGAAACGACAAGGTGCGTGTACTATGACATGTCAAGTCCTTCCTATGCGGTCTACAACTAAGACAGAATAATTAGGGTTTGTGAAAATTTCATGTTTCAACTCTACACAAATTTTCCTCTTGCGGAAATACTGTTTCAGAAGCATAACCTAATTTACAGAAAAAAATTATGAGCTCAGGCCTACTTCAAAAATTAGATATTCAAGAGGAGGACAGTTTTGTATAGGTTTGAACCGGATTTTGAATAACTTCACTCTCTCACCTGACACAGCTTACTTTAAATGTAAATCATATGTTTGAAATATGTTATTTTTGTAAACCGAAATCAACGGGAGGATTTTCTGTTTCGTTTCAAATTTCTAACTCTTAAATCATTTCATTTTTGGAGTTCTCATGTGACGAAAGATGCAAACAGATTCAAGCTTTCGTGACTTATAAAAAGATACAGTTGGCAATAAGAAAAAAGATTCAACCTTCTTTTGGCTGTGCAAATCTCATTTCTGAGAACATGTTTCATGTAAATTAAAATTGTTCTGATAGACTAAAAGACGGAAAACTAAACTTCTGCAGGCCTATATCCCATCCTTAAATGCAACATAAAATCTCTTATAAAGCATATTTCTCACGATATTAGAAAGTTTATGAATGTAATTAAACAAATTCTAACTTCTATGTAACATATAAAAGTATTGGAAACCGAAATAATCTCACAGGATTTTAAAAATAAAAACTTTTACTCACGTTTAAAAATGGAAATCTTCTACTGTTCTCGTAATAATCCATGCTCGTTAGTGGACAGTTCTTGATAGAGGATTTTATACAAAGGCCTACCTCGACAATAATTGGGTATAAACGGAGATCGTAATCCCTCACTAATTGTTGTGGTGCGATTCACCCTTTTTTATTAGGAAATTTGAGATATTTTTTTTAAAGTGTGATAGGGGTTCTTATTTTAGATCTCATTTGACTTTTTGACGTGTTTTGAAGGCAGTTTTTAATTATGAGACAATTAAACATTCATTCTAAGACATGAAATCAAACTGTGGGTTGTATAATGTTAAGTATTCCACTTCGCATCACATTGCAAATAATAAAAAGTTAAACACTGAACTGATAAATGCAATACTTTACATCTAAATAAAAAAAAATAAATTAGAAATATAAGCAGGAAAGATAAAGGAAATTTTACTTCTGGTCATCTTGTTGAATTTCTTCAACAAGAAATTCAATTGACTTTCGTGATTTTGCATCAGAAATTAAGTTGATTAGCTTGATTTTGAGTTATTATCAAATGGAATTAAATCGATATGATCATTAGATCGTATCGATTTAATTTAGTTTTAGTTAAACTAACGAAATGGAAAATGAAATTTCAATATTGAGAAAGTCAACATGGATTCATTAAGAAATGAGATTCTTTTAAAAAATTTCTTTTTTTACAATTAATCTATTATATAGGCTATATTAAAATAAGTGGATCATTTATCGTCTTAGTTTAAATTAAATTAATAATCTTGGCCGTAATAGTCTTGCGGTTCGGATTTAGATAGAATTTTGGAAGCCATTCATAATTAAAGAGTTTCCAATTTTCTTAAGTAGAGTAACATCATCAAAGGGAATTTTTAAGATTCGCAATTACAGAAGCTTTTCTATTTTATTGAAATATCAAAGGTTGTAGAATTTACCAGCAGAAGTTGAATAATTAAAACATGATTTTTCTGTGTCCATTTACGATTTAATTGCTTTAATATTGAAAGTGAAATTATTGAATGTAAATATAACTAATAATTAATGTTTATAAACGAATTTATTAAGAAAAACGAATAAAATTGTAATAAAACAATCGTAGAAAGAGCTACCGTAATATTTTTACATATCTATAAACAAATTAACGACGTCAATAAACGAAATCAAAATTAATGGGCTAAGCAAAAGAGACACAAAAATTTTTGTCAAAAAAACTTTTGACGTGTATTCAAGTGCTTTCTCATAACTTGATCACCATGATTACTACGAATAAATAGCACCTTTATATACTACACATCATTATCAAATCGAGCATCTCTTCAGCATCGTGCAGATATGTAATTGTAGGTTATACAATATCCCTTAAGTGCACAATAGCCATGGTGGGTTCTCCACTTAGAGTCCCTAAGGCTGTTCCTTTTAAACCTGTCTGCCTTCTCTAGAAAAATCTTAAAATTTGAGAATAACTTAGATATAATTTACTATAAAAGAGGAAGGTTTAACCGCTCTACGCATTTTTTTTTCTTTTTCTTTTTCTTTTTATTCTCGAAATTTTTACACGCGTTTGGACTTTGTAACGCTCACCGTATAATCTCCAAAAATGTTAAATTTAGCGAAGCAACGCACAACCAATCAATACTGTCATTGTGTCGCACACACCTATTTCAAGTCGCGAACGGTAGGTGGCATTAGTGGGCCCCCAGATAGAAAGAAATCACTGACCTTAAGCACCCAGACTTCTACCATAGACTAGTTAATGATGGTAAGAACTGTTCCATTACGATTTATAAACATTAATTAATTGCATGGTAATCAATAAATTAATTAAAAACTCTTTTAATAGATTATTTTAACCATATTTATTAACAAATTTAGATTTTACTATTGGGATTCTAAATTCAAAATCAGTCAATAAGCTGTATTTTAAATATAACTGTTATTATTAAATAATTTATTTAAAAAAACCCTATAAAAGATGAATTTTAAACGATGAAAAACTAGGCATAAATAAATAAAACGCTACTTAAGCCTACAAATTGAGTTTTAAAGTTTTCTAGTTAAATTTTTATAAAGGTCTTTCTAAATGTCTTTATTATTTTGTAGATTTGAAACTTTCTAAATTTCGACTTCTTTTATGTCTTTCATGAATTAAATTTTAATAGTTTATTACGAATTTTCCATATATAAATTTACCATTTTGAATTTTGCATTCCCTCATATCCAAGTTGTAATTTCTACCGTGTACGCTCAGTCAATTCCACGATAGAATATTAATAGTTTTCTACTATTTTTTACTCCATAAAAGTTTAAATTAGTGTTTAACCAA